TTGGAAGCACATTTCAGAACTTTGATTAGTTTTGTGCAAAGCGCGCGTTGGTGCAGGCCGTGTGCGGAATCGGGACCCCTCATACTTTTTATTGAAATAAAGTGTGCGCGTTTCATTGGATGGGTGATAGTAAATTATACCTACTTGGATGGGTGATAGTAAATTATACCTACAGTGTATGTTGTAGCTTTCTGTTCAAGACTGGCAGATTTTCAGTGTCACTGCATCTTGCCCTACCACAGTTGTTACAACTCTCACGGTGCATGGGTCTACTTGAGCCATTCAAGCTATTGCTTTTCTCTGAGTTTGAGCAATAATTTGATTCTGTCAGTTCATAATATGAATCATGACACCCAGACTGGTTCTTGATAGTCGAAGTTCTTGTTCTAGGCCCTTCTGAACTCTCAAAGCAGGATTTATTTTTTTATATAATAATGAGAGGAAAATAGACTGAAATACTTAAGTCAAACAAGACCCCAGTGCGACATTGAACACTGACATGTTGTTGAATGGATACATGTATATTGTACGCGTGTGTGCTCCCTTTTTCGAGCTGTTGAGCTAGTAATTTATTTTCAGGAAATATTGCTGGACACCCTGAACATTTTACTGTTACTGGTTAGTCGGTCGGTCGTGGGGAATACACATTTTCCCCTGAAAATACACATTTTCATGTTTCCCAATACTCATTTCGGTTTTCTGTGGTTGGCATCTCTGGGCGACTGATGCAGAGCTGTGTTCGTTTTGTTTTATGAGTTAAGTAAGAACTGAAAATTATCTGTAACTGCTGATAACAGTTCTCTTAGTTCTGGTGCTTGGAAGAAAAAGTGGCATGCCATATTATATATTATAGTTTGTTTCTATTTGTAGTCGAGTTTTGTTGTCTGGCTTCCCATTATCCACACTTCTGTAGTCCAAATATGGACCAGTGTTTTGAACAGAGATTAGGGGGTTAATTTAAAAGCCTTAATGTTGATAAGTTGGAAAGTAAATCGAATGTCGGGGATGGTTTCAAATATATTTTGTCTTAATAGGACGACTTTGTGTTCACAATAACAGTGCAAAAATTATTCTTCATCATTTCATCCTCTTTTTTTAAAGTAGAGAAGTTGAGAGCTCCTATATCATTTGCAACAGAAATTACTAAAAAGACCAGTCTTCCATCTTGAACTGCTAAAGATCTGATGATGACCTTATTTTGCCTTCCTGCGTACCCTGCCCGTCACATGTGTATGAGAAAGTATGGAGTGTCACATTTTTACTGAAGTTCGAAGCGCACACGTACTGTGTACTCAGATTTTCTGTTATCTTTGTCGAATCATGCTTAGTCGTACCAAGCTATTCTCGTAGCCTGTACCATACATTTATAATGCATCTCAGCTGACTGAGACCTATGCTCAACGATGTTATGTGTGTGGAGCAAAATATTGGGAGCACAAGAATACCAACAAAAACAATTCCATGTGTCTGAATCAACTGTTCTATGAAGTAAACTGTAACACACTGACATATGTTCTATTCTATACAGTGAAACTCCCTTTTTATGGTAAGTCCTCGGGCCCGACCTTAAATTAACTTCATTGAATCCAAGTTTTCTTTATAAATAAGAAAGATGTGACAAAAGTGAAAATCTAAAAAATCGGTAAGGATACGGACACCTGTTCTGACATGCATCAATGTCACAGTATGGTGCCCTAAAATGCTTACTTATATGAGCGGTTGCTTCCCTTGATACAACAGACGAACAATTAAGTCCGACTTTGTTGCAATTATTAAGGGTCATTTTCTTATTTTTGCTGCTATACCAAACGTGTCGTAGTCCTAGACTAATGTAGGACTACATGTGCTACGGTGTATATATAGATAAATTGAAAGGGTGCTGCAAATACTCTGGACTGCTGCACTTTAACGAGCACACTATGTATTGTAAAGAGGCTGATTTGTTCAAATGCAAGCTCTTGTCATGCGACATAGATCTATTGTTTGTTGAATAATTTGCATTGTAGCTGTCGTAGTGTAGGGCCTAGTAGTAATAGTAGGCGTATAGTATGGCAGAGTGTTTTTTTTAAGTCTTCTGTTGGTGACGTTATGCCCCCACTGACACAATTTAGATCATTTGGGAGGTGGGCTTCCAACCCTGCCTGTCAGTGTCAGGGCCAACCTAGGCTGACAGAAGGACACAACATCCCCTTGGAAAGACCGACATGCTCGATAAAAATGTTCTTCCCACTTGGGTCTCCTGTGTGTGACAGTGAAGTGCTTATGCCACAAACAACTTGGCAGTGTGTAGTTCTACTACTACAGACCTGTGCACGAGCCTAGCCTAGCATATTATCACTGTTCAGCAGTGGGGGGAAAATATGACTGTGACCCGACTTTTTTAGTTTGCATCCCTGCTGACATTGTACGCCCTCACCCCCTCAGACAGACGAGTACACAGCCACATGTGTGCTGGCCATGGTCACTTGTCTGAAATTTCTTGACCCTGGCATAGGCTAAGAAACATGTCTTGTCCACGTCGAAACACATGTGTTGGTGTAAAAGATGATCATAACTTACAGTATTCAGACTTTTATCAAACTGGCGAGGTGAAATAATTTTGCTGAACCTTCTGTTTTTATTATAGTCTTGTCTAAATTTATAGTGGTCGCTCCGCCTGAAAGTACGAACGCCTTTTTTTCACTTTGCCACCTAATTTTATTTGCTGAATCGAAAGTCTGATCAGTTACCCTACTTGTGTGAAAAAATCAAAGCGAAACTGACTAGTTTCGGAATGAATTAGAATTCAAATTTCAGACGAATGCTATTTTTAAATGGTTTGGCTTACTAAAACCTCAGTCTCAAAACTGCTGTAAAGGAAGAAAAGGCATTTTGTCATACAACAGCAGAGCTGTTTTATGTGGGTTTTCTGGGGTTGAACAGCATGTGCTTGCAGATGTCTGTTGTTAGAACGTAGTACTTTACTCCTGTTGGTCAGACACAAGACATTGTGTACCCTGACCCCTTGTGTCAGTGTTGCAATGAGTTGTTAAACCACTGACTCCTTGTGTCAGTGTTATCACAGCTATCATGTAGTACGACACCTGACATCACCAGTGTCACAATTTCTACAAAGATGTATTATTTGATCTCTGACACCACCACCCCC